CATAGCAAATTCAACAGCCATCAGAGTAAAATGATTTCTCTACATTACGATGCCTCCTAACAACAAGGTCCGATGTTGCGCGCTCCCGTTAAACAAAGTCCGATGTTGCGCGCTCCGGTTCAACAAAGTTCGATGTGCCGCGCTCCCGTTACACAAAGTTCGATCTGCTTTTCGTCACGCTCTGCAGTGCAGTCTTATTATCTTAATATGTTCGCCAATACTTCCAGTGGAAAAAATGTAAAAGCTGTAGTATGTTTCTGTAAGATTAAAGAACAACACACTTTGAAGAAAACCTGAAATGCTAGCATTACAAAACTGCGATAGAGCTCCAAACTTGCGTCTCCCGAGAACGGCCAAAAGCAGATCGAACTTTGTGTAACGGGAGCGCGACACATCAGACTTTGTTAATCGGGAGCGCGCAACTTCGGACTTTGTTTAACGGGAGCGCGCAACATCGGACCTTGTTGTTAGGAGGCATCGATTAGTTATTTAAGATTGAAGACAAAAAATAGCACAAACCTGGGACATTTCAGACATAGCTTTATCATGCTCAATTCTTTTCAGCTCCATTAGATTTTCAATCTCAGTAACCTTGCATCCTAGAGCTTGTACCTCTTGAATTAGATTTTTCTTTTGCTAAAGGAAATAAATATTTGTAAATCTTAGGAACAAAAATAAAACCATACACATAAAAGAACTAATTGTGGCACTAATCTGACACAGATCATTAATAACATTTTCATTTTGCACATTCTTTCCTGCGAAAAGATTGTCCCTCTGTGTAAATTGAAATTTTGAAGTTTCCACTTCTTAAGCTAAATGTTTATTCTGATCTTCTGTCTCATTAAGACAGCATCTCATATTCTCTACCTCGTAAACTAGATCTTTCTTTTCCTAAATATTTTTGTTTTGTTTAATTTGACAAAAATCTGAAAAATACACAAGAAAAAGAACTAAAATATAGCACAAACCTGGCATAGATCAGTGACAGCTTTCTCATGTTCAAGTTTCTGTAGCTCCAGCAAAGCATTTAGCTCGGTAACATTAGATCTCAATTTCTCTACTTCTTTTAGTAGATTCTCCTTTTCCTAGACAGATAAAAAATATTCAGAGTCAAATGGCAAAAAACTGACATAAATACTTTCAAACACAGCACACAAACCTGCGACAGATCCTCAATCTGCTGTTTTGGTACAAAATTATTATTTCTCTTACTAATTTTCGCCGTTTGTCGTTGCGATTCTTCTATGTTATTGTTTATGTCACATAACTAAAATGAAAAACGTTATATAATTTTTGAAAATATAAGAAAAATAAAAATTACCTTTAAAGCTTACATACCTTCTTGTCAAGACTGTTTGACAGATCCGTATGCTTCCTATCTACATATTTCTTCATTCGTTCTATCTTGGCGCAAGTTGGACAGTACCATTTCTCAACATCTAGACAAGCAAAGTACAAACACAGGTTAGATTCTTTCCCCAAAGTTACACTAACTATCCCACAAAGCATTTACCTACTTTCTAATTTTTTAGCCGTAAGGGAAAGGCATTTTCCGTGAAACCACGTATTGCAATCATCACCATCACAACATACCATAAATCTAATAAGATCAA